TCTGGCATTGGCTTCATTGCCTCTTTCCAGGATATTCATGAAAATTTTCTGTGATGCTGGATTGTTGGTCATCACAGTTTGTGTTTGGATGTCCCCCTGAAGCCTCATGTAGTCATGGAGGCAGCTGAGTCTATTCGTTTATTGTTTAGTGCTAGGATTGGCAGTGTGAGTACGCACCCACCCAGGGATGAATAGCCTGCATAAGGGAGGGAAGGAGACATACTTTTCCCTTTTGCCCTTTTGCTCTGGTCACTTGTGGTAGCAGCTATGAATGATGTCCCTCAGCCATGCCACCCTACGTGGAGCCAACTAGGTATACACAGAAACCTCCAAAAACTGTAAGTTAAATAAACCTTTCCTTCCTTCATTTTGAGCGTCAAGTATATGTCTCAGCAATGAAAGAAAAGTAACCAGCACAGTGGACATGTGTTTTTTGTTGTTCTTAGTCATGAAAATATTTATTTATCAATTTTGAAAGAGCATTTCGCAGGATATCTAAATCTAGGTTGGAAGTTATTATCTTTAAGGACTTGAAACATTTCATTTGAAATTCCTGGCCTTGAAGATTTCTGTTGAGGTCTGCTGTAAGACAGTATGTTTTTATAAGTGATTTGTTGCTTTTCTCTGCTTTCAAAATTCTGTCCTTATGTTGGATTTCTGGCATTTTGACTGTGATGTGATGTGAAGAGTTTCACATTTTTTTTTTTTGTCTTTTTCATTTTTATCGGTACCAGGGATCAAACTCACGACTGCCTGCTTGCAAGGCAGGCGCTTATGCAGCTGAGCTAAATCCCCAGCCCCCAAGAGTTTCACTTTTGATCATGACTGTTAGGAGTTCTCGGCATGTTTAAATCCCCCAATATTTAGAAATTTTTCTGGTTTTTTAATATTCTTTGTGCTGTCTTCTGATTTTTTAATTATTTCAGTTAAACTTAGATTAGTCTTGTGTTTCTAGCAGTGTTGGGTCCTTTTTTCATGTTCTCTTATTGTTTCCAAGATATGTCTGAGTAACCAGTCTTTGAAGCATTCCTACCTTCTGTCCTTAATTTTCTGTCCTTATTTTAGTTACTTCTGTTGCCTATACTTTCAGTGTAATTTTTAATCTGAATTTTTGTTTGTGACCTTCCCACGAACTCTGGTTCTTTGATAAACTGATAGAGTGTAATTGTCCCTGTACCCCAGTTTTCTGGGAATGAACTACAGTATTAATGATGTCTAAATGGTAATCCTAGAATTGGAACATAGAGAAAACCTATTGACAACTATGCAACCTCAGCAATGTCAAGTGAATTAACAATAGTGATATTATCCAAGTTAAAGTGGATACTGATATACCACTATAGATACTGACATACCATTATGGATATTGACAACCCATTATGGATTATTTTTCTATGCTTAAAGGTGGTACTTTATTAGTTCTTAATATACCACCTTTAACCATAGAAAAATAATCCATAATCATAGTATAAGCAAGATAAACCAAATATTGACATAAGCAGTTGAATATTAAATACAATTAAATATACTTCCACTTGTGATAGAATTCAATGTAGTAACATAGATTTAACCCATCTAAAGATTAATAAAACTTAATGATTACACTATTAAAGATTCAGAGGGTTGGAAGTGGGAAAATGCAAAAAGAAAAATTAAAACAGTGGGAGATGAGAGCGAAGTGAGACAAAGGATGCTATTGTGGAGTAGAAGGGTATTTCTAGAATTAGGTAAAGGTAACAGGAAAAAGCAGCAAGGAATGAAAGAAAAAAGTAGTATAGAGAGCAAAAAAGGAAAAGAAAACGAGTAAAAAAAATCCACAAACAGAAAACACTTTGTTTTTGTTTGTTTGGTTTTTGTTGTGTATTCACAAGTGAGTGGTTTCCTTTTAGGATCTGGATTTTAGGAGTCCAGCAAGTCTAGCTTTTCTTTGCCTTCCTTTACTGCAGGTGGGTTTATACGAAGCACCCCCTATTCCCGAGGCCCCTCGGTTTATCCTCGGCTGTGTCAGTGTCCACACCAAGATGTGTCCTTGCTCACGTGGGTGGATAAGGAAGCCACTCAGATCTAGCTGTTTCTGAGCACAACTCAAGCTGGCCCAACCATGGTGGAGGGTAGGGGCCGTGTCCTTCCCTGCCAAAATCTAAACTTCTCAGAGAATCTCCTTCCCACCTTTCTGAGGCTATCTCCATGGCTCCCTCTCACCACATCATTGTGGAAAAGTAGAGTGGAGTTGCGTATGTAAATTGTTTTTTAGTTCTTTTGAGTCCCAGATTTAAATAATTAACCCCTTCCCAAAATAGCACCTTATCAAGCACTCTCTGGTAACACGGCAGATGCCTGCATGTGAATCACTCTCTGGCTGTGCCGTCCTGTGGAAGGAAAACCCTTGTGCCGCTTTTAGCCAGGACTTGGCTGCCTTTTCTTCTATATCGACAGCAGTAGGTGCTTACCTTGCTTCTGGGGAGCCAGTTTCCCCTCCCCAGAGTCACAGGAGCCGGAGATAGTGTCCCACTTGTTTTCTTTTTCTCTGTGTTGTAAACCATCTAGCTGTTCAACTTTTCTGTAGCTGCTAATTTTTCTTATCAGTTTCTTCCACATTTCTGGTGATCTGCTTCTCTTTTTTTTCTTTTATTATTTGAATATTTGTATTTTGTTTCATTTACACTCTTGGTTTTATAGCTTTCTTGTTCCTTTTTATGGATATTATTCCTTAATTTCTCTCTTTGTACATGTGATATAACTTAGCTTAGTGTCTTTTTAAAGTTCAGTTTTCATTTTCCCCTGATAAGTTAATCTTCAATCTGTTTTAAATTTTAGTTTATTGACTCTGTTTTCCTGTTGAATGAGAGATTCTTTCTGTATTTGTCTCCCTCCCCTTACATACCACTCCCTGAGTAGCCATTTTATGTTTTTTTTCCTCAGCCTACCCACCAAGAACTTCATTAAAATGCAGATTAGAGATTGGAAGTTTGTGTTTCTGCCCAGTGGAAATTTTTAGATTATTACAGATGTACTTACTGAGCTGAAGACCTTGGCTTTGTTCACCATCACAAGGTTATATCTATGGTTTTCTACATTCCTGAATACTGATTGCTATTGCAATGGCCCAAGTCAGCAGTGAACAGTTATTGTCCTTTCCTAGACCCTGTGTTGCCCCCTAGTCTCTGCCTCCCAGCAGTGAGCTGACCAGGGAACAGGATCTTCATCTCGGTGCAACATTACCATTCACCCCTAGTCGGAGCTTTTGGACTTCTTCTTTTCTGGAGCCTTGACTGTCAGTGCATCCTTTTTTATCTCATTTTTTAAAAAATGAGATTACTATATCTTTTTAATACTTATGCTATTACTACTTTGTTTGTTGTAGCAAGATTGGTTTGATTACAGAATTGGCCCAAAGCTTGGGATTTCCAGGGATTTTTGTTTGTTTGTTTCATTTTTTCTTGGAGTGCTTGTTATCCATAATACATCTAAATTCCTCAGTACTAAGATGGGAATTTTTGAAGCTGATTTTTCTTAAAATAATTGTGATCTTTTCTGGAGATGCCTGAGTTACATCAAAATTTTTATTGAAATAGGAATTGATTCATAATGCCAGCACTTTTTATTTTTAAATGAGCATGTTTTATTGCATGTAAGTTATATCTCAACAAACATAAATGAGTAGAAAGAAAGAGGTAAGAGTGAGAAGACATGCTCAGCAGAGGTTACTTAAATTACCTACACAAAATGTGGTAACTATGCCAATAAATCAATAAGAGAACTATTGCCAAACATATGCCTGAGATTTATGAAAAAAGCCCAAATTTCTTCTCAACATAATGACATGTTTAACTGTACAAATAATGAGTGACGTATAAGCTAAAGCAAAAGCATGACCCAACCACAAGAAGAATGAGAGCTAAATCTTAAGATCTCATTGTTGCAGAGCTAGTAAGTATATGAGAAAGGTGAATTCTCCTACATAGTACTGTGGGAAAGCCTGCACTTTTTGAAGCAGTTTTTAGAAATCCAGAAAGAAACTTAAACTTTTCTTCCCTCTTACTTCTTTCCACATTTATTTTGTTTTGCTGTGTTGACCTGCTTGACCTCATTCTCAATCCTCCTGCCCCCATCTCCCAAATGTAGCTGGGATTATGGGAATATGACAGTCTTGTATTTCCTTTATTAATTTTGCTATCTCTCAATATGTAGTAAAGTTATTTGCACGGGAAATGTTATATGTGTCAAGAATCCTTCACTTGGAAGTAACCAAACTTGCTTGTAGTACAATTAAAATAAATTTGCTACCTGGACATAATAGTGTAGGTCTGTAAGTCTAGCTACTCAAGAAGTTGATAAGAATATCAAGTTTGAGGCCAGCCTCAATAACTTAGAGACCCTGTCTCAAAACAAAATAAATACAAAGGCTGGTGTAATGACCAAATTTAGGAGCTCAAATCATGCTAAAAATGTCCTTCCATTTTCTTCTCACTTTGTATGTTGAACTCATTTTTTCCAATTTGAGGCTATTTTTTCCACACTGATTCAGCAATGACTAAGGGGTGGGTACAAGTGATAAAGACAGACAACTTCAGATGTAAGTCAAAAAGACTTTAAAAACTCAGAGAAAGCCAGGTATGGTAATCCAGCCACTCAGGAGATTGAGGCCAATGTCACAAGTTTGAGGCCAGCCTGCCCTGTGTAAGGAGACCTTGTCAAACTCAGAAAGAAAAAGAGCTCCCTCTAGTTTTTGGACTTAAAATCTTAGGAAAAGACCTTGCGTGGCCTAGATTCAGTGACAGATGTACCTGTCTTTTAACAGTTTGCTCTCCCCAGGGTCTTGGGTCTTAAACCCATGCATTTAGGTAGATGCTGATGTACTATGATTGGTCTTCTCACTAAACCTTACATTATCTGATGGGAATCCTTCTGTGACCACAAGAAAAGAAGGGATATCATCAAACAAAAAAAAGAGGTCTTATGTCTTATACAATCTGTATTTTAATCTTTTATTTTCACAGGCAGAAAGAATTTACTTTCAAGTTTTCTTACCTAAGGGGAGCAAAGACAAGAGCAAACCTATGTTCTTTTGCCACCGATGGAGCATTGGGAAGGTGATAGACTTTGCAGCTTCACTTGCCAGTCTTAAAAACGACAATAACAAATTAGCAGCTAAGGTAACATCTAGTCACAAAATTTCTGAGTTTTAGGATATTCTATTCAAGCAACATGTTTGCTTATTACAATGTGATTTTATTTTTCTTTCAACAGAAGTTAAGATTGTGTCATATTTCTTCAGGAGAAGCTTTACCCTTGGATCATAGTTTGGAAACCTGGCTTGCTAAGGAAGATTGTCCTTTATATAATGGTGGAAATATTATTTTGGAATATCTTAATGATGATGAACAGTATTTAAAAAATATTGATTCTTACTTATAGTAGTCAAAGGTTAAGCCAGAAATCACAAGGAAAATATTATGTACCTGTTTAGTCAGTGTCTTTTTTTTTTTTTTTTTTGTATTTTTCTTTTTTATCGGTACCGGGGATCGAACTCACGACTGTCTGCTTGCAAGGCAGGCCCTTTTGCCGCTGAGCTAAATCCCCAGCCCCTAGTCAGTGTCTTTTACCAGAGATATTATTCACTTTTTTCAAAGTTGCTTTTTAATTTATTTCCATTATGTTATAGTTTACATTATCAGTTTTCCGTTAATTTTGAGTTTTTGTGTTTTAAAGTTTATACTAATAATTGGTAGCAAATTCTTGGATTTGATTAGCTTTTTTATTAAGTTATACTTTAGAAATATCAGTATGAGTATACTGAGATATTTGGTTAATGTCAGGTATTGCTTGGCTATGGCTGTGCTCCATGTCATCTTCCTCTCAGGATCTAAGCTGTAAAACAACCCCTTTTGGGGACTTTCCCATTCTTTCAGCAGAGGGAGGAGATAGCAGATGTTTCCACTAAATCTCAAAGAGAGTCACAAGATCAAGCCTAGCATTATAAGGCCTAAAGTATAACCTTTACTGTCTGCCTACACCATGAGGTGTAAATCAGTGTTTAAATGAATTATTGAAACTAAGAGATCATATCATTCAATTTTCTAAATTTTTGAGTGAGGACTATTAGGCCTGGATTGGGAAAATTATTTTCTTGGTATCACCTAACAGCATTGGGGCAAATTTCTAATAAAGAACCTCCTCAAGTTGGAGTCATCTTTTATGTCTGTATGACTGTATTACAAATGAAACATGGGATAGTTCACCTTCATTACAATCTGTATATATCAAAGCAAAGCATATGTCGAAAGCAACATTTTACCAATAAAGTGGAATAAATGCACCTGACTGGTAGTTTCTGTCTATACCCAATGAAGCAATGTAAAGGAGGAATAGAAGTTCGTTCGTTCGTTCGTTCTTTCTTTCTTTCTTTCTTTCTTTCTTTCTTTAGTGGGGGGTTACTGGGAATTGAACTCAGGACCTTGTGCTTGCTAGGCAGGCACTTGTGCCTCTGGGCTACATCCCCAGCCCTTAGAAATTTTTATTTGTTCATTGTCCTTTTTATGTTTTCATAATGGACATGTACAGTGACTTTGAGTTTAATTACAGGAACAAACTCAGTGTTCATTTGGTGTATTTCATCTCTTATTCTTCATATTATTCTCATGTGAAGAGTGATAATGACTTTAGATTTTGTCAGGCTAGTTTTTTTTTCACCATTAACATAATTGTTTGAGTTCCTAGTAAGGATTGGTTTTTAATTGAGATGATAGATGCAATGCAGATGTGTAAGCTATAATACAAAACAAGTTGCAAAAGAGTTCATAAATAGAATAGCTATGTTCCAATAGCTCTTTTGTCAAAGTGTAAAAATAAAAACAAATAATCTTTAAATATAAACTTAGATACAAAAACGTTTTAATACAAAGTACCTGGATGTCTATCACAATTACTTGCATATATATCATAATTGAACCAAAATATGCTGAGAAAACAGTAACTATTGTGGCATTTAGAGTAAGCCCAGCAGGGATTGATTTAAGCCTATGCAGAATGAAAAGAGTTCCTGTTAATGATAAAACAGCAAAGTGAGAAAACTGCATGGAGGAAATGATGCCTATCTGGGCATTCTGCAGAGAGGGTGGTGAGGTCCCACAAGGCAGAGGGTACACAGGCTCTAGCATCCTCAGTGCCAAGACTGGTGACTAAAGCACACAGTCTCCTGAACAGAATAAGGTCTGGGGTGTAATCTCAGTCTTTGAATCTCTATTTTTAAATTACACTGAAATCAGACAGCATTCTCTGGTTTTCTTTTTGGGTTTCTCATTACATTTGCCTAATGAAAGTTTAGGATGTCACTGTTCCCCTTTCACCCCAATGTCCCTTTACTTACAGACAACTAAGATGGTAAGTAAAACACACAGAGTGGGGGAGGGGTTACACGTAGATAAACTGTGACAGCACCAACATAGGTGAATTCCATCTAAATAACCACACAGCAAATGCATGTGAGTGGCAGGGTGGCAGATTTGTTTTCTTATCAAGTTTTATTCCCTGCAGTTTCCCTGCAGATCAGGAAATGACTTGGGATAACCTGAAGAAGGAAGAAAACATCTTAAGTCAAAGGGCAGGAGGCTGTTCACTTAATATCTTGGATCCAGGCAATGAAATTTGTGAATTAAGACACTTGATCACATACTGGGTGTAGTGGTACATTCCTGTAATCCCAGCACTCAGGAAGCTGAGGCAAGAGGTTCTTCAATTTGAGATCAACCTGGGCTACATAGTGAGAATTTGACTCAAAAAATAAATATATTTGGTCATATAACTAACAATAGCTTTGTTTAATGTTTATTTTAAATTTGTCATTTTAAGAAAGTTTATAGGAAATCTAACTGAAATATCACTGAAACATAAATACATTCCTAGTCTCACCATTGGTACAAATGCATCTTTTTAGTGTCTCACGTGAAATACAAATCATGACATCCAAAGTACTGTGTTTGAAAGATGAATCTACATAAACAAGATTTTTAATACTTGCCAAAATTTTTGATAAAAATTGACAATTCTTGAGGCACAAAAACCACCCTCATTAACACACCATGTTGCACTGTGATTACATAAAGGATTTCTGAAATGGTCATGTGCTAAGGGACCACTGGATCTACAGGCTCAAATGTAGACAGCTATGGCATTAAAGTTTTTAATCTTATTTTTTGCAGATTGGCATCAGAACTGCCTCTCCTGTGTGGGAAATACACAATTTGAGTCTAAGTTGAAGTCTAAAAATCCTGGCAACTAAGGCTGAGTAGGTACAGTGCATGACCTAACCAGAGCAACTGAATATCCATGTCCCTGTGAACAGGAAGTAGTATTAGAAAGAACTAAGACATCAAAGTTAACCATCTTTCTATTGTATCTGGTCCCAAGTATCCAGTGGCAGCAACCTCTAAGGCAGGCTGTACCTTTTACCCTAGTACAAAGCCACCTGCTTTCTCCATGTTCCTAAGTTACCTGGTACCCATTCAGAAAATTATTTTCCGACTTAAGGACACCAAAAAACAGGTTTATGTTTGCCTACCAATCACTCTGACATTGTGGAATTATCAGTTTTCATAATGCTGTTTTTCCAGTTCCAGAAATGAGGAAATAAGGAAGAAATAATTTGGGTTTCTGTTTGTGGTAAACTGAACCTTTTAAATGCCTTGGCTTTTCAGTTGTCTAACCTTCAAGTTAAACAGGTTGTTCCACTCACTAGATGGCTCTTTATTAGTCCAAAAGTACAGCAGTCCCTCCTATTGGACTTTGGTCCAGCAAGAGCAACTTAACCTCACAACAGCCCTGAACGGTACACGAAGAATGTTCTTTCATTTTTAAAAAATGTTTCAGCTAATGTGATTTGTTGAAACTTTCAAAATGATTAGAAAACTTTTCATCATCCTACTTCTGTTGTTTGTGACTCTGGGAGAAGCAAAGAAATTATTTCTTAGTTTTCTGAATATAGAGAAGACTGAAATACTGTTTTTCACAAGGGCTGAAGAAACCATCATTGTCAGATCAAGTTACAAAGATAAACAGGCTAACTCCAGCTACCTTTTTGTGCGAACAGACAACCCTAAAATTCTGCAGTTGGTGAATGTGACCAAAACCTCATCAGATGTTACAAACTTCACTATCAACCTAATGACAGATCAAGAAGGAGAGACAAATCTGACCATTCAACTCTGGGATCATGAAGGTAGGCGAGAAAGACTCGTGGAAGAAATGAATGTTAAAGTCAAAGTGAGCAAACAAACAAAAGACAGTCTTTTCCAGGCATCAATGCATGTTGATAGGAGAATACTAATGCTTATTTTATCAATGATACTGTTCAATAAATGTGCCTTTGGTTGCAAGATGGAATTCCAGGTTCTTCAAATGGCATGGAAGAGACCTTTGCCAATACTTCTCGGAACAGTTACACAGTTTTTTCTGATGCCATTTTGTGGTTTCTTTTTGTCTCAGATTTTGGCATTGCCCAAAGCACAAGCTTTTGGATTTGTCATGACTTGCACATGCCCAGGGGGAGGTGGGGGTTATCTCTTCGCTCTGCTTTTAGAGGGAGATGTTACTTTGTCCATTCTGATGACTTGCATATCAACATTATTTGCCCTGATAATGATGCCGGTCAATTCATATATATATAGTAGAATATTAGGGTTATCGGCTATATTTCATATTCCTGTTAGTAGAATTGTGTCAACACTCCTTTTCATATTTATTCCAATCTCAATTGGAATCATCATCAAACACAGGTTACCTGAAAAAGCAAACTTATTAGAGAAAATCATTAGACCTCTTAGTTTTGTTTTAATGTTTACTGGCATTTATTTGACTTTCAAAATGGGATCAGTGTTTTTAAAATTAGCTAACTTGGAGGTGCTTCTTTTAGGTCTTTTAGTTCCTGCTTTGGGTTTGTTGTTTGGGTATTCTTTTGCTAAAGTTTGCATGCTGCCTCTGCCTATTTGTAAAACAGTTGCTATCGAAAGTGGGATATTAAATAGTTTCTTAGCCCTGGCCATTATTCAGCTCTCTTTTTCACAGTCCCAGGCAGACCTAGCTTCTGTGGCTCCATTTATAGTCGCCATGTGTTCCTTATGTGAAATGTTACTGATTCTCCTGGTCCACAAGGCTAAGAAAAGAAGTGTCTTTTAAAAATTTTTTTCTCATCTAAAAGTTAAAGTATGACTCCATCCCTATTGTGAGTGAGGTACTATGAGAAGTTTAAAAATTATGTAAAATAAAGGCCAGGGATATAGCTCGGTAGCACAACACTTGCCTGGCAAGTACAAAGTCCTGAATTTGATTCCCATTATCCCCAAAACCAAAAATTTAACCAGGAGGGGGCCATTATTGAAAGTGTATGTATAATCTACATGCTAAGCACTCAAATGTGACAGCCAGTAAAATACACAGGAGTTTAGAGGAAGGTGCCAACTTTCCACTGTGGTGGTGTGGGAATGTTTATAGAATAAGATGTGAATAAGGTACCGGGAGAACATGGCGGACAGATAACAGCAACTACCCAGAGGCTCTCTGAAAGACTCGGCTCAGAAGCCAGGTATGGTGCGGATTAAGGAGACATAAGCAGGTGGAGATATGCTCTGCTGACTCAGGAACGAACTGGGCTGAGAGAAACCAACTTGGAATGCAGTCCTGGTGCTAAAACAGGAACAGAAAAGCCTCGGTGTGGAGGCTGGACCCCGCGCCATTGTAAGCTGCGATTTGGGTTTCCCGCTGCGCGGCAGCTGGCTGCCTCTACAGTGGCTCGGCAAGGAGAGAGACGCGCAGAAGCTCTGTGAACGGCAATCTGCGAACGGCAGGGAGGCGTGCACTGACTTGTGGTGAGGTGAGTGAGAGAAACTGACACTCTACCACAGTTTGACTCCAGCAGAGGACTTTCTGGGCCCGAGCAGTCCTGCGGGAGCAGGGTGCGGTGGCGACTCCAGCCACACATTCCCCTCTCCGGTGGGATTGGTGAAAAGTGCCTGGCCTGCGTGACGCTGCCGGCGGACCTGGTAGGCTGTCCCAACCCAGATCCCAGAGCCTGACGGTGGCCGGGAGGGGAGACGCGTAGGCTGCCTGGTCCGTAACTCCCTGGTGCGCAGCAGTGAGCGGGAACACCTAACTGGCGCAATTCGATCAGGCTGTGGCTGACTGGGAGAGAAGCTCGGCCTCTTATATAAGCTTGCATATATAAGGAACAGAGAAGAAGAGGCAGCATGGGAAGAGGCAGCAACAAGAAAGGCTCCTCGGCCCCCAATTCTGAGAAACAGGCAATAGCAGACACCGCACCAATACACATAACGCACCATATAGAGAGCCTCATAGACCAATTCAGGAATGAAGTTATCAACGACCTGAAGCTAGAAGTATGCAGAATAGTTAGAGAAATGCTAAGTACCACCCAAGAAAAAACAGGCGGTGGAATGGAAGAACAGAAAAAAAGGGGAGAATTGTTTGATGGAGAAAACAGAGAAAGCATAGAATACGTGAAGCAGGTTCAAAGGGACTACCAAGATACTAAGAAGTCTATAGAAGACTGGCATAACAGCTTGAAAGAAACTAAGGACAGACTATCTGAACTGGAGGGCAGACTTGTAATATGGGAGAATGAAATGAAAAACTTCTTAAAAATAACAAAGAAACAAACAGCAATAATACAAAGACAAGAAGATGATAAGAGAATCCATAACTTAAGGATTAAGAACATAAAAGAAGAAGTAGGGACACAAACAAGTGAACTACAAAAGCTACTCACAGAAATAATCCAGGAGAATTTTCCTAATTTAGCAAAAGGTAAAGATACTCAGATGTATGAGGCATACAGGACCCCAGCTACCTACAACCCAAACAGAGCAACACCCAGGCATATAATAATAAAAATTCCAGAAATTCAATACAAGAACAGAATATTAAAAGCTGTCAGAGACAAGAAACAGACCACTTACAAGGGAACACCCATCAGAATTACAGCAGATTTCTCAGCACAAACCATCAAATCACGAAGAGCGTGGGGGGAAATAATTCAAGCTTTGAAAGATAATAATCTCCAGCCAAGATTGAGATATCCTGCACAACTGTCCCTGGAAATTGATGGAAAAACAAGGTGCTTCCAGGATAAAGAGGAACTGGGGGAATTTGCAACCACCAGTTCAACTCTACAGACAGTTTTGCAGGATATTCTAAAAAAAGAAAAATACAAAGAATCCAGAAATAATGGCAGAGAGGTCACAACGAATGGAGCAGAGAACAAAATGAAGAAGACAAACTGACAGCTACTGACAGAAAAAGAGCTCAACAGAAATGAGGCAGAGAAGATTGGATGATAGGAACAGCTATTTTGGAGAAAATGACATCTTAATAGGTAATACTGATTTAGTATCATCTTGTTTTGAAGTCTCATCTAGCTTTTGTTCTTCTGTCTCCAATGGTCTAAATAGGTTGTATCTTACTGGATTTTATTATGTACGATAGTATAAGCAAAAACCTTTTAAAGACAAGGAGATTATACAGAAACCATTATTCATTTTCTGTTAGTCGATTCTAAATACTCTGTAATGCTGTCATTCTCTTGAATGGTTTTACATTGTTTTGATATACTTAATGCTACAGTATACGAAGTTGTACTCAAGGATTTCAAAGAAAGAGACAATATGGTAACTACTTTTAGGTTAGGATTATCTGGTGGTGAAACACTATTCTGCTTAAATGGTTATGTTTTGATCTGCGCTGTTTCGTTGTTATGCCCTCTTTTATCTCAATCTCCACTCCATTATTTACTTTTTTATCTTTATCCTTTTAATTAAAGGAAAAAGATAGCAGGATATATTATAGTAACCCACTTTGACTTTTCATTACCTTGATTTAAAGCCCTGTATTACTCTCACCATCTGGTTTTTAACTGATGTTCCCCTATTCTGTTTTGCTGGATAGTATCAGGTTCGAAAGTTTAGGCATCAGCTGTGAAGATAATGAGATTCATTATGACGCCCATTCTTGTTGACTTTTATCTACTTTTGAAGACCTACAATGTCTCCAATGTTTTGGTTTTGTTGGTTTTATTCTTTACTGTTTTGTTCAATTGTATTATAACTAACGATATAGGCAATTCTATTAGAGATAGTGGGAGGCATTATGGTAACCATTGTTGATCACCTTGTATTATGTTTTTACATTATCTATTATGTCCACCCTTTTGACTTGACTGATTCTGTTCTGTTATGTCACATTTGGTTTTACTCTCTTCCAAAAAAGTAATAAGAACCGTGGGAGCAATGAAACCCAAAATGTGTAATAGTCATGGTACAAAAGAGAGGAAAAGAAAGTGCTCCAAACTATATAACTGCATGTATATTTAAGTGTATAAGATAGAAAATGATATCACAGAGTTTTATTGGATCAATGAACAGAACTGTTTGCAGCATCATTGATGGAATGTCCACTTTACAAGCTTTAATTTTGTGACTTGAACAATTATTTCTAAGATGACCATATGTAATCCATTAACTAGTGATTTCCTACTGTTCATTTTTTTTCTGTAAATCTGTATAACTTGTACCCTTTCCCTACTTTTTTTTTCTCTTTTCTCCTTAAATAAAATTAAAAAAAAAAAAGATGTGAATAACGCAATCTTATCATGATCTCTTATATGAGAAAAAAACCATAGAAAACTCTTCTTGTAATGAAATTCACATAACCTAAATATTTAAGGAAAGGATGTCCATGTAGTAGACATTTAGCTAAAGCTTACTCAGTAAATGAATATGTAAATTCAGTTTCTATATGGCTTATCAGAGTCATCATGTCTTAAACTATAACATTTCGACTCTCATAGCTGCTCATACTCCAATTTTCCATACCTGCCACTAAAGCCATTACTTCACACCAAGATGCTGAGTCATCAGTTCTTCCCTCAATCTTTCTTCTTTCTTTCCTCTTTCTGGTACTGAGTAAACCCATCATAAACCCATCTGTGTGTGTGTGTGTGTGTGTGTGTGTGTGTGTACATACATATTTTTGAGACAGGCTTTCATCCAAGTGGAACTTAAACATCTATAATTTTCCTACCTTTTTTAGAAAAAAAATCAGATTTCTCTCTATTCCCAAACGCTACTTTTTTTCCTCACGCTATATTCCTTCTTCCCTATACCTACTCCTAATTTGTTGACATCGTTGTCTAACTGCTGATAACTATCAGATAAATTTTCTAAAATTTTATACTTTGGTCATGTAATTTTCCTACACATTTTTGTGTGTAAATAAAGTCTGAATTCCTTAGTGAGGCACTAACCTGACTCTGTTCTCTGACCTTATTCTAGCTTCCCAGTTTGTTTTCCTCTCACACTCCTTTGCACACAAGCCTTTGGTATAATCAAGCAGAATTAATGAGTAGCTTATGAATACTCCTTGTGCAAACCAACCTGGTTTGTTGTACAGCTATTTCTGTCTATTTTATTCCTTCTTTTTGGTGTAAATCCTTAGGGATGATAACTCTGTTTATTCATTTTTATATTACTTGAAATGTCTAGCACAACATTTTCTATGTACTTAAACGAAACATTAGAGCACAGAGTAGGACCAAAATGAAGATTATGGTTTTTAAAAATCACTCTGGGGTCCATAACTATGATATAGTGCTTGCCTAGCATGTTGAGACCCCAAGTTCAATCCTCAATCCCACCAAAAAAAAAAAATCACTAAAATTTTCAATGGAAATTTTTAATACCGAAGATCAATCCATATTTTTCTTCAAACCATGGCATCAAGAATAGGATATATCACCCTTAAGGATACTACTTTCCCTACTTTCTAGCCTTATAGCTACTTATCCAAAAAATGGAGATAATGGTGTTATTTCTACCTGATCATCCTGGGAATTAAATGAGACCACTCATGTAACCTGCTTAGAGGAATGTTTGACCCAATGAGTACACAGTTTTAGCTATTATTGTTTTTATCAGTTTAAACTTTAACCCTGCCTCCTGCTAGCTGTACATATTAACCGGTTCACTATGCATATAACTTAAACTTGTAACCTTTTAAAAATCACTGTTACTATTTTGTTCATAGAATAAAGGATTTTTGCTTATTTTGCTGGCTTTTTTCTTATGTCACCAAAGTACCAAGATTTATAATAGACCTAGTGGCATTCAAAGGAAAAGCTGTTAACATGCATGTTAGAAAGTCTTACACAATGTTCACAACTCTAACTTACATTGTATCAAAACGAGATGTTTTTAGGCAATATGGAGACTCCACCCTGAGCAATTACACATTGTGTAATCTGATCGTGTCAAATCAAAGGGCACTGAAGAACTATTAACTAAGAAAGTCTTGGCATGGAGAACATGAAACTTTTTTAGTGAAAGGGAATGCCTAAATGGCAGATTTGGAATTCTACATAAGTTTTATGTAGAGCTGGCAAGATGCTGACAATTTCTGAGGAAGGAATCTCAGTGGATGCCCTCTTTGCTCGTGTTGAAGAATGAATGATCAGATAACTCCTGGTTTCTCAATGGCCATTCTTCCCCAGAATTCCCTTGTGCCAGATGCCAGGGCGAATGTCAGATCACTGGATTTCAACTGTATTCCATTTTGAGGTTTTGCATAGTTAGAACCTCTCTCATAGGTGGCAGTTAGGTGTCAGGAAAGGATGTCAAAGGCCTACAAGACAGAAGTCACCACTGGGGAAGAAAGGCAACATTTCAGGTGTTAGATTTTGTTCGGGTGCAGTGTGAAGTGGAGGCTAGAATCTGTCTCCTCCTTTCTCCCTTCCAACCACCTTGACAAAACAGTTGTTCTTTAGGACTGAAAACACTGGCTGCAGAGGTGATTGCAACTTGAAAAATGGCCTCTTTGGGCCAAGTGGTGACGGGCGCCGGGCCAACAGAGAGGCCTTGTCAGACTGTGCCAGTTTGAATAAAACCTTTTCAATATGGCTGCAGCTGGGCCCCAGGATATGGAATATTATCTTGTAAAATAGAAAGGATGGCCAGAGTCTACACATACTTGGGAACCATTGCAAAATCCTGTGTCCATTACTGCTTCAGCAATTCCTTAATGACAAGCATGATTATTTATCTCAGGTAGAGAAAGGCAAAGCAATAATTCCAAGTCAGTAACAAAACTTTGAAACCTGCTATTGCTCGGTACATTGTAAATAAAGCTAAACAAAGGATTGCTCTGCAAAAGTGGCAAGATGCAAGATGAAGTCAACAGAAGAAAAAAATCATATAGCAATGATTTTTAAAAAAATATTGTTGATTTAGAGGGCGCACCTACAGACTTCTACTGCACTAATGAATACAAACCAGCTCCTAGAATCAGCTTAGTCAGTGAAGTGACCTTTGGTTGTTCATGCACAGATTGCTTCTTTAAGAAATATTGTCCCACTGAAGCTGGTGTTGTGTTTTATAAGAACCAACAAATTAAAATCCCAGCTGTACTCCCATCTATGAATGTAAATCAAGATGCTGCTGAGGACCTGATTGCACCAATAGGATTGTACAGAAAGGCACACAGTATTTACTTTGCATCTTTCAAACTATCAGTGGCTGTGGCTTGGGTGTAAAGGCCCTTGTGAAGATTAAAAGAATAGGTTTTGTCATGGAATATGTTGGAGAGGTAATCAGGAGTGAAGAAGATGAAAGACGGGGCAGTTATATGACAATAAAAGAATCACATATGCCATAGTTTAGGACTAAGAATCTGACGAATGCAGTGGATGCAGCTCGATATGGAAATAAAGATCAACTGAGTAGTTTTTAATGATTTCGCATACTGAAGAGTAATTATCTTTGAACTGTAGACCCTTCTGAAATGTTTCAGTATGTGTGCCTTTTCTGCTAAGTCATTGTATTATTGCTTTATTGAGAAGATAACCAGTTATATGCTTACCAAATATGTTTAGTGTTTTGCAAGAATCCATACATATGTTGCTTCTTTTAAACTTGGCAGTAATTTTTCAAGTGTGACTCAAATCTTTAGGTGTTCAATGTTTTCACTGATAACCTTCAATACTTGTCTTCCCCAAATGGCATTATTTTCTACAAGAACCATATATGCTGGAGAAGAATTAGCTTGATTACCAAATGAAAGATTCTGGAGATATATCTTCAGACTCTGTTGACAACAGCCCAGCAAAAAGAGGGTAAGAACTGTGTACAAATGCAGGGAGGTGACATGTGGAGGCTACCTCAACTGACTATTAGAAAAATACAGCTAGTGATTTCGTAGTTTGGTTTTTCCTAATGCTAACACTTTTAAAAGTATTTGGACTCTTCATATTATCAAGATTATACTATGTTAATTTACAGTTCCTCTTTCAAGGCATTTGCCAATATATTACTGTTGCCATGAAGAAGACTCAAGGTCACATAGGCTAATTTGAAATGAACCTACTTGGCGGTTAGATCCTAGATGTGAAGATACTACCCACAGATCAACAGGTACTCACTTAAATCTGCAAGCAAAAAAGTGTGCCCCCTTCTGTGTTTGAAAATATTAAACTTCAAAGATAACAGTTGCTGAGATGAAACATTCGCCTTGCCATATACTTTGATTTCAAAGACAGTTAATTCAGTTTGGACAAATATACAAGTTCTGGTGTCTTCATTCCTATTAAATACTCACTGTTCTTGCTTTTGAGACAAATAGGTGATACTGAATTTATATCCTGTTTTCTTCTACTTTTTTATTAAAGCTATCTTAATTATAAGAAATTGCCTCTTTAGGAACTCAGATATTAATATTAATAAATATACATATAAATAAATATTAATAAATCAAAATTCTCAACATCAAAAGAGCTCAAAAGAAAGGATTTATTGAGCCATATATTATAGCTGCTAGACAAAGAAAACATCCTGGAACATGTTCCCTACGCTACTAGAAGCAAGGTTAAAGAATAATCGGAAGAATGTCCACCAGATTTAAAAAGTCAAAGTATTTATAATGAAAATTTAGGGAAAAGAAAGTGCAAAAGCTGACACCAAACGACTACAGGCAAGAAGGCTGAACAGTGCAAAGCAGGCAAAGTTTGGGGCAAGGAGGTTAATGCTTGAAAAGATGTACTTGTTCCTCCTGGGATGGTTGGGGTTGCAAGCAGAATGTGATGATGATGCCTTAACTGCAGATCTCAAAGAGTTTGAGCATTTGTTTAGGAATATGGAATCATTTTAGGGTGTTCTTTGTATTTGTTTTGTATCTATCCCAGTTTTTCTGGTATCATATACTGCGGTCTCTACCAGCCATATGAACTGCTTATCCAGCACCCAAACAAAATCTTTTGGACTGTGTAGTACCTGTTTTCAACACTTCTACACTGGAATCTGAACACTGGACTCTCTTGTACACTGGCAGATTTATCACTTCATTTTCCAAAAGCATTTGCAAGAAGAATGGCCCATTTGGCAGGAAAAAAACCAAACCAAAACAAAACAACTGAAAAAAACTGTGTGGTGGTAGCTGAGACCTCCACAAAAAAATGACTTTCTGATCATCTTGTATGGGAAGTTTGAAATGTTTTTAATTTGAAGGCATAAGATAGTTGATCCTTTATGAATCTAAAATTGCTCACACTGATTTTAGCAGCTTTGCCAAATCAGTAGGATCATTTTTCACTTAAAAAAAAAAGATTTAAAGAGGACTTTGATATGTCTGTAAATTTTCTGGAAATTTTCACGTGGTTATATGTCAGTATTTTTGAGGATGTATTTGACAATAATTTTTACTTTAGCATGATTCATAATGAGGAACCAAAAAGTAGTTTCTGAAGTCTTTAAAATCAAGAAACCAATGTATCATTTAATAGGCAAACAGAAATATCCAAATCAGATTCCTTTTCTATTTTTTTCTTTTTCTTTTTTTTCCCCCTCATGCCCAAACTTTTTCATATATATATATATATATATATTTTTTTTTTTTTTTTGAGAAAGCATCCGAGTGTAAGCTTGCTGAACAGCTGGAATTACAAGTGTGTGGTACTATACCCCACCCAAATCAAATTCTTTAGACATCAGTTTCAAAAAAATGTAGGCAAGCCCTTAGCTCTCTGTGAAGTTTGAGCATTGGGTCTATCGTTCATATCTTTCTTTTGTCTCTGAGATGTGTTTCACACTGGTGACAGCACCCTGTCTTCTGATTAAACTAAAGAAAATACTTCAGAAGCAACGCGCTGAACAATACACTTTTCTGGTCCTATTGTAGACAGGACATCTTACAGTTGTGCAGCGCTGTATGGTAATATATGTATGGTATATGCTGTGGTGCCAGACCTGTTATTCAAGGAAGAGGAAACATTTTAAGGGCTATAGAACAGTCCTGTATTTACGCAATGTAATTTTTGCACCATGTATATTCCCGTCATGTGGACTTTGGAGACAGTATGTCTGTTCCAGTCTCTGCTCTTGCAGAGGATAAATCACTGAGTTCCCAGTCTCATGTTTCTGATGAAGTGAATCATATCTGCTTCATGGAACTGTTGCAACGTTTAAGTGAAACAATGCACATGAACACAATTGCCTTAAGCATTTAAGTCAATGCATATGAACTACGGAGAATAGGAGCAGTTGGGGCTGGTTATCTTTTTCTTTTCTTTCTTTTTAAACTACCATAGGTTTGTCTGGTACCAGTTCAGCGAACTAGCACTGCATAACCGGAGTCATAAATCCAGTTTATGTTTTGTCAAGTAGTAAGCACTTATTCTCATTTATTCTCATTGGAATAAATGAAAGGGAAACGGAAGAGGTGCACAAACAGAAGAAAGAAGGTGTGAGCAAAATAGAAAGGAAAGGCATTCTTAGAGAAGAAACAAGCTGGACAAAAGAAATTTTAAAAACTGAAGGTTTTTAAAAGGAGATGTGGGCCTAGTGAGCCAAGTCCAAGCAGAACCCTGGAACAGCACACCCTGGAGGAAGCTAACGGCGCTCCCGTCGTAGGCGGGGCCTCAGAGTGGCCACGCCCCTCTGATTGGCTTTGTGGAGGCGGGACTTCCTGTCGTCCCGGCCCTCTATCCGGAAGGTCTGATCCTCGGTATCACCGGCTGCTGAGCGAGCGGTATTTCCTCCAACGCGAGGTAAGACCGGCTTTATTCTGTCCATCCCTCCTGGTGAGGCGGGCGTTGGGTGCGGGGCGGTGTCTCTTGGTTGGGCGGCCGCGGGGGGCGTGCCGGGCGGAGGCCCTGGCTGGAAAATCTCTGTGCGGCGAGGTCGGAGCCGCGCTGGCGACACCAGAAGCAGCCTCAGGGTTGGTGCAGCGGTTTCACCCACGCGGTTTTACCGAACACCTGAGGCAGCTTATTTAGTAATTGCCAAATTTGCATTTTACCGGTCCAAGGAAGCTCAGATCGAATTGGCCAATGTGCGGGGTCGTAAAGTCGCAGTATCTGCGGTGGGTCAGGGTCCAGCTCCCGCGCTGTCCTCAGTCGGGGCAGGCGCTGGAGAGTGACCTGGCTTCCCCTGTGGAAGGCTGGCCAGGCCCGAAACTGTTGGAAACGTTTCAGGATGTATAACTTTGGAAAAGTGCAATATCATAAAATATGGGCCTTTGTATAGCAACATTCTTGCAACCAAAAAAAAAATCTCTGAAATAGAGATTTGGGTCTCCTGTGGAGTATTGCTCCCGAATCTAAATTTACTAAGTCATTTTCAGATGCTAACCAGAAAAAGAGCTAGGGCTCAGGACAAGTTTCCTAAAACTGCCATCAGCAAGGCTAGGTAACATTTGGACAAGCATATCTGAAACATAAAGCTGTAAGAATTGTTATGTTTCCACATAAACAATCTTTTGTTGGCTTCACACCCTCATTCCCAAACTGCTACTAATGAACTTCCTTTACCTCATTTCTCTTGACCTTGTGATCAATTTTGGGATTTAACTTAATTTCTCTTATTAGCCCCCTTTCTCAAAAAATGTATTTAAAACTGGTGAGAACATGCAACATGCCCACAGATGGCTAAAATGTAGGAAGACATTGCCCAGTGTTCTGAAAGTGATGTACAAACTTTATGGGTTCTTTCAGGTCAAGGTTCCAGGAATATCATTCAGACTCAGAACCTTGTTTGCTGCCTTACATATTTATATCTGTGGACGGTACCTCTTCTCTGAACTCAAGACCCATCTACATTCTGCTTCCTAATTGACTTTGCCTTTTAATTTTACACAGTGCTCCCATTCCAGTGATTAAAGTTTTGATCTTTGTGTCTCTTATGTAGATCTGAAACTTGACTTCAATTGCTTCTTTTTTCAGTGGATGCCATTATTTATTCAGTTGCCGGAGTAGAAATCTGGTCATCATTCATTTCTGCTCATTCACACACCAATTTATAGTCAGTTGTCAAGTTCCACTAGTTTTATCCTCTGAAGCAGATACTTCAACTTTCAGTCTCTGCCTGCAAAATCCCCTTTCCAGGTTTGAGCCAACTTTTGCGTCTCCTCTGGAGCATTGCTCCTGAATCTAAATTTCCTAAGCCGTCTGCCTTCATGTACTCTTTGCCCTTCCTACCACCTTGCAGTCATTCTGTTCACACTGAGGCCTTGCAAAGGGTGATTCTTATTGCCTCCCCCAGCGTTGCCCCTCTCCATTTCCACTGATCTCTGAGACATCATTCTTGGGTCTTTGAGGTACCAAGAACCTTACAGTTCAGTATTTGCTTTTCCTTCACATCTTGATTCAGTCATGCCCTCAAAGAAACTTTATCTGATACCCGAGTCCAGTCAGATCTCCCTGCTACATCTTTCTCATTGCGTTGCTCCTATGTAACCTTTTAACATTTTTGGCTTTTGGAGTAGTCTATGGTTTTTTTTTTTTCCTCTTAACATCTGACTCCCCACGAGAAAGTGAGTGTGAATGGGACCTAGTCTTCCTCACCATGCTGCTGTACACATTTCATGACTGTGGTGCTGTACACAGCATGTAGTAAGTATTCAGCCATCCTGTTGAATGATTAAATAGTTTCTGGCTGGAGAATCGCAAGATAGAAGGTAACTTTTGAAGTTGACCTTGACACATTGGTAGGAGTAATTCAATGCTATGAGTGGATGGAGTGTGAGTGGCTTGAGCAGAGCGTCTGAGGAGGAAGCACACACAGCCTCAGAACTTCAAGTTCTGATAAGAGGAAAGAGTAGAATGAAGAAAGATTAGGAAGCTATTCTTGAAGAGATGGAAATTGCTATGTCTATAACTTAAAAAGTGGTCTCCTTTTAAAAATTGCCTAAATGTTTGCATCAGGAAGAGAAAGCAACCAGCAGAAACTTACGGATTTTGCCTTCCACACCTCTTCTCTCTGCTTTCCTATAATGTCAGCAACACCATAGGGATTTCTCAGAGTCTGCAACTTGAAATGCTGTCAGTTATCTCAGCTGAAAAGGAGACAGCATGAGGGTTGCTTAATGAAGAGTGTCACATTTGTGGATGCAACAGTTGAAATGTTTCTCCATGCTAGGTACAAATTGCAGAGTTTGATCAGACTAGTAGTCATCAGAAGTGAGTGGAAAGCTGGACAGGTCTGAATACATAGCTAAGTTGTTTTTTCCCCTCTCTTTGAAATTCAAGGAAGTCCTCAGAATGTTGCAGTAGAAAGAGCCACGTACCGTAAAGTCAGAATAGCGTTCAAAAATCTGTGTTAGTGGGCAGATTATTTTTCAGCCTTGAACTTTAACGTCTTCGTCTTTAAAACCTTATTGTCGTGAGTTCAATCCCCGGTACCGATAAAAAAGAAAAAGACAAAAAAAAAAAAACCTTATTTAAAAGAAACCTCACATGTGGTGCATAATTGGCTGGCAATTAGTCAGTACCTGTGCCTTTTGCTCCTTGTCTCGCTGGAATCTTTCTCTTATTTTCACTTTAATTGCCAGCCAACTATATGCAAGTGCTTCTTAATATTTCTTGTCCTTTTGTGCTTGTTCACCGAAGCAACGTTTTCGTTTTTTTCTATAATGTGGGGTAGATTCTTTGGGAGACAATTTTGCCAAGTATTTTTTACTATGAAAATGTTTCTGTGATACGAGTGAATGATGTATTAGGTTTAATTTTTTTTTTTTAACTGCATCTTTGGATAATTCATGGGAAAAAGATCAAACACTATAATTGCAGAGGAGGTAAATCTTGAAATAAAAGTCTTTGCTAAGATGTTTTTGTGAATTAAGTAGTCTGTAATTAAGACTTTCAGAGATTCTAACTACTTTGTGCTTGTATGTGTTAAATATATTCAGAAGATGGCTGATCCTTGGCAGGAATGCATGGATTACGCAGTAACACTAGCAAGACAAGCTGGAGAGGTAAGAACTAAAATGTCCCAGCCAGGATATGATGGATATACAGTGTGTGATTAAATATACATTTGATTAATCTACATTTGTTTTCATTTCAGTAGAACTTTAAAGTGAATTTTTTAAAGTAAAATTTTTAAAATGTTATGGTGACAATCATGAGTACAAAATTGAATATAATATTATGATTTTTGTGTCTAGAAGGACATAACCATTGAAGGCTTATTTTGTAAGATGTAAGAAATTCTTATGAGGTTGTGAGTTCGATCCCTGGTACCAATAAAAAAATGAAAAAGACCAAAAAAAAAAAAAAAAACCCACAAGAGGGGCTGGGGATTTAGCTCAGCAGCATAAGCGCCTGTCTTGCAAGCAGGCAGTCATGAGTTTGATCCCTGGTACCAATAAAAAATGAAAAAGATTCTATATGAGCCAGCCATTGTGGCTCACATCTGTAGTCCCAGCACTCAGGAGGGTGAGACAGGAGGATTGCTGCAGGCTCCAAGTCAGCCTGGAATACAAAATGAGTTCAAGGCCAGCCTGAACTGCATAGCGAGATCCTGTCTCAAAAGGACAAAGGAAAATTTTATGGATAACATTTAAGACAGATTGAGTCTTTTATACTGTTTGTATATTTTATCTTTTTGTTTGCTGTAAAATACATTATACCTTTTCTATTTGCTTACTAAAAAAATCATCTTAGGTGATACGTGAAGCTCTAAAAAAAGAAATGAATGTTATGATTAAAAGTTCTCCAGCTGATTTGGTGACTGCTACAGACCAGAAAGTTGAAAAAATGCTTATCTCTTCCATAAAGGAGAAGTATCCATCTCACAGGTATTTTTACATCAATTTCAAATGATAAAATTAAGCCTATGTTAGGCTAAAGTTTAATTGCAGATACATAACTTTACTTTGGTTGTCTTAACCTGAGAAGGAACTTGTTTTGATGGTGTTCGGTAGCTCAGAGCCCTTTGAGGGAGGAAGTCTTACCTAGGTGACACAGGAGTGGTTGCTAAGGATGGCACTGGTGGTCTTGCTCTTAACTGATGGTTTTAAGTACTTCCTATCAGCCAGGCATGGTGGCACATGTCTGTAATCCCAACACTTGGGAGACTGAGGCAGGAGGATGACTGTGAGTTTGAGGCCAGCCAGGGCTATACATGTATTGAACCATGTATGGAAGCCCTGTTTCAGAAAAACTAAGCCAAACCAAAACAAAACAAAACAAACTTTTCTAACCAAACTATCTTTAATCTCATTAGTTTAAGATTACAAATCTGGGCAGGAAGTTGTGGCTGAGCTCAGTGATTTGTCTGAGATCAGGTGCCAAGAATCAGGGAAGAGGCAGTGTTTGCATTCCTCCATAGTAAGAGAAATGCTTGGATGCTGGCAAGCAAGCACCTTACACAGACATGCTTTAAAAGTTCAGTTAGGTTCATTGTGCTTTGGGCTTGTGGCAGGATAGAGGCTGTTTTAAGGAGCTATAGAGAAAATCGTAAAATCAGGGCCTGTCTCACCAAGTACAGAAATACTGCCATCCTTTTGAAGTGTTAGCATTGCCATTCTGTGCTCCTCTGTCACGCCATTGCCATTCCTGGTCCTTTAGCCATTGAGAAGAGACAGCTGTAGCTAAATATACATCCTACCAAATAAAAGGGACTAGAGCTAAGAGAAAAAGATAAAAAAAAGTGACAATGATTAAAACAGTTCAGTGTTGTATAATGGCAAGTAAACAAAATAGAAAGTTAAAAAGCAGTGAACTCAGATACCATTGTTGAGATTTATGTAGAATTTATAGCATGTTTAAGAAAGATGTGTACACACAGTAATTTTGGTGATTGATTTGCTTTCTCATTAATTTATTTGATGTTCTCTGAATTAGTTATCTTTTACTGCAAGCAAATTATCCTAAAAACGTAGAGCTGTAGACTACAAATTTTTATTATCTCACGATTTCACTGGGATGGGAATGTGAGTCTTTCAGTTGCACGGTTGTAGCCACCGTCTCTCAAAAGAGTTACAGTCAGACTGTCAGTCACAGCTACAGTCATCTCAGGGCTTGGCTAGGGCTGAAGGGGCTGTTCTTCATGTTTGTGATTGTTGGCAACTTCATTTCCTTGTGGGTTTTCTGCTGGCAGCTTCCTGCAGTTCCTCACAGGGGCCTCTTCTTACCCCAGCTCACAGCATGGGCCAAGGAAGGAGAAAGAGAACAAGATAGAAACCATGGAACCATTTTTTGTGAACTAGTCTCTGAAACTACACACTGTTGCTCCAGTTCCTCCTGTTGGTTAGGAATAAATCATTGTGTGCTGCACAAGAGGTTCTAGGCTTCGTATTTTGTAAAAGGGTATCCTGAGAGCCTGTAGACCTACTGCATTTCCTTAATGACTTCTTATCTGCTGTAAATGTGCTTTTCAGGTCCATGTGTTTGTACATTCATGTGTGCCATTAGTTGCTCTGGTATTGTAACTTTTCATATGTTTTGCTCTGGAGGAAATAAAGTAAACCTTCATCTCTTGTGTTGGTTTCTAGAGGAAGGAAAAAGGAGAAAAGGAGGGTACCAACTTGGATTGTTTTATAGTAGATTGTAGCAAAGAAAATGTTATGGTTTGAAGTAGTTGAAAGCAATATAGAGATTAATTTGTCTTTCTTGCTTTTAGCTTCATTGGTGAGGAATCTGTGGCAGCTGGGGAAAAAAGTATCTTAACTGACAACCCCACATGGATCATTGACCCTATTGATGGAACAACTAACTTTGTACACAGGTATGTTTCTAAAGTTTTAATCACTGCTTAGTAACTGGTTAGACTTTAGGAGGACTCTGTTCAGGAACATTTAGACTTTAGGGAATTGTATAATTTATGCTTCTTTAAGTCTCAGAATGTACATATAAAATGTTAATAGCAGATCAAAAGGTATTAAGCTGAAGACCTTATGTCACATGAGGAGGAAGTAAAGAACAAGTAATGTTGGGTTTGTCTTGTGTTGTAAAGTGCACCATTCTTTTTCTTCCTGTAGTAGAAAAAGGAAGCAACATAAATACTTTGTGATTAATACAAAACTAATGAAGTCACTAGAGCAGCGTTGTCCATGTAAGATAAATTTCACCTAGGAGAAAAGAATTAAAAATTACTTAGGTTTTAGGATCAGCAGACCTGGACTTGAATATTGATGCATCTTTTATTGGCTTTGTGACCTTGGGCAAATTAATGAGTAAGACTTCAGTTTTTAAAGTACATACAAAGTGACCATATTAATGGTACCTGCTTCATATAATTATTTATCGTTGGGTCTCCCCAAGTAGTACATTTATATAAGAACTTAATTAGTGCCTGGCCCAGAGTAAGTGTATTATAAGTCATTGAATTATCAGAAGAAAGCCTGATGAAATTGCTGGTGAGAGTTCGTACCTAGTTTGATGGGACTGGATATAGATGTTACTTTTGAACTTGAGATGTAACTGTGTATATCTGTGCTACATTAAAGTCTATAGCTCTAAGGTCTAGAATCTGTATATGATAAAAAGTTAAATGTGGAAAGTGGCTCAAGATATATTGAAATATTAAAAGTTAAGACACTATACAGTGTGATTCTGTTTTATTAAATTAAAAGCTCAAATATAAAATCTTTAATAGATTTTATTTTAAATACTTATATTGAACTTTGTTTTCTTCAGTCTAACTTTCTTGAGTCAGATTTTAAGACTGTTCAAACTGTCATGCAGCCATAGAAATCTCTGTGAGACCTGCTAATTTCCTTTTAAATTTGTAAAGCTCCAAGTGGGGACAAGTAACAGTTTTTTGGTTCCTGGGTTTACTGCAGTTCCAAGCTACAGTGTGAGGAAATAAACAGAAAAAGGAGTACTTTCTTCTTAAGAATCCATGATCAATTTAAAAACTGTGTTTCAATTCATTGATTTTTGTTTGTTTTGGTTTTTTGCTGTACTAGACATAAACCCCAGGCCTTTGCTCTGACTTTTTTCCCCACCTCTTTTTTACTTTTTATTTTGAGACAGTGTCTCCCTAAATCATTACTGTACCCAGGCCAAGTTTGAACTTATGACCCTCCTGCCTCAACCTTCCAGAGTGCACCAACTGTCTCATTTTTTATTCAATTAAAAAAAAAAGATTTTTACACAGTTTTATATGTAAAACCATATTCACAACACTTGACCTTCAATGGATATAAAAGAGCCTTCAGTAAAAAATACACTTCCTCTTGTGTTCCTCAGTTTCTGAGGATCTGTTTCTGGAAGTGGTTGCTGTTAATCAGTCTCCTGAGAAATAATTGTTTCACACGGTTCATTCCTGCAGAAGCATTCTGCACATGGGATGTGTTTGTGTTGTGTATACTACCTCCTCCTTCCCTTCCCCTCATACATACTATAAACACTGCTGCGTTTAACTTATTGGGGGAGGAGGGATGAGACTGTATATGAAGACTTTGGGAAACACTGATAAAAAGATGAATTTTGTTGAAATTAAGTTCTGTGTTGGTAAATTTGTGGGTTTTGTCTCTTTTTTAAAGATTTCCTTTTGTAGCTGTTTCGATTGGCTTTGTTGTAAATAAAAAGGTATGTTGTTTTAAATGTACAATTCATAAAGTGTCTTGATATTTTCTGAGAAAGTAAATATATCTATAATAGATTGAGACTTGTCTCTATATTTAAATTTATATGCATTATTTTGAATGCAGTGTTTTCTGAAGAGTTATAATGAGAAAATACACACATGAAATGAAATACAACTCAGTATCTAATCACTATTATGTCATACAGTCAGATATGATAGAAATTGCTATGATCTAAATACTTTTTGAAAGAGGTGGATTTGAGCTAGTAATGCCTTAATGGTGTTAGTAAGGCGGACATTAAAAAAGCAGGTAGTGGCAGGAACCAAAATATGGTCAGAAAATGCAGAGTATCTTTAGGAACTTATATATAATTGAATACTTACATCTAAAGCACAGTGGGGTAAATTTACCTACTGCATTTCCTTGACTTGTGGCTATTTGATTAGCCAAAGAGTGAGGAATGTTCACTAATATCTTACAGTTCTATCTTCAAGGAGCTGTGATGTTGTTGACTAGCATGTTAGCAAAACAATTAAGAAATACCTGAAAACAACACAAGTTAATACCAATGAAGGCTTCACTATATTGCTACATTAATCAGTGAGCACATCCAAAAGGAGCTAAGTGAACATTTAGCGTATAATCAGCCCGAGCTATATGCTGTGGACTTGTTGAGTACAGAGTCAGTTGTATGAACAAGTAAACGTAGTGTTTAGTGGAACTGTTAAAAAAAAAAATACCGTGGAACACACAAGAGGATAGAAACAATTCTCCTAATAGTGAGTTGGAAAAACCTTCATAATAAGAGGAATTAAATGAGTTGACACTTAAAAAATTAGGGATTTGCCCAATAAACAAAAGGAAAACATTTTAATAAGAAAGAGCATTCAATGAAGTAATTTTGGTTTTGGTTACTTTGAATGAGGTGTCTACAAGCCCAGGGTCTGGAGCATAGGTTCTTACGTGTAGATAGAGTAGGTGGAAGCCAGAACTATTAGTGGTGGTTGGATTTACGGACTGAAAAAGAATAACTTTTAAGAATATAGAAAAAAAAAAGGGAAAAGGAAGCAATGAAAAAAGATTTTTTAAAAAGCCTAATGTATGCAAGTTTTAAGTACTAGGCAGAGAAGAAGGTTTGAAAAAAATGATACTGAGACAACAAAAAGAGGACAGCCAGAAACACGGCGGTGTCACGTGAAGTATTTAGTCCGTAAGATTTGCTCTTTGTGTGATCAAGACTGAACCCAAATTTAACATTTTAAGAGATACAAAGTGCAGACTACTCTCAGTGACAGGGAAGAGGAAAAAGTTTATGGTATCTTTGATTGTAGTTCATAATAACACCTGATTCTGGGTAATTTATAATGAAGAGACATGTATTGGCTCATCGTTCTGCGTACTGGAAACTTAGCCCATGATCTTCCAAGATGGCGTCTTGTGTGCTGTATCCTCCAAAGGGGAGAAAAGTTGAGTTCTCCTCTCCCTCCTCTTGGTGGCAGAAGATGGAAGGGCTGAGAGAGCACAATCTTGAAAACCGTAGAGGCAATAAACCCACCCATCACCTTTTAAAGGCCCCATTTCCAATGCCATCACATTGGCAGTTAAATTTCAGCACGTCTTGGAGGGGACAGGCATTCAAACCATAGCAGCTAGGGAAGAAGAAGCTTGGTGAGCAGATTCTATAAGAGAAGTCTAAGAGAAGAAGGATCTGATGATCCCACAACCCATCTGTAGGGTATGGGTTGTGGAGTAGGGATCCTGGGACAGTGTTCATTTAATAAGAATGCAGTCCTGATGTGAGGTAGTGTGGGTGCTCTAAGTCTAGATACAGGTGTAGGGAAACTCAAGAATTATACTCTGATGACCTCTTCTGTTTAGGCTGGAAATAAACATTTTATGTATCCCACAGTTTAGCCATTTGAATACACTGTTGATCAATATACTACGTTTTGTTATATTTTTTTAGAAAAAAATGTTGGATTTCGTGAAGAAAAATACTCAGATTTGGTAAAGGAAACTTGTTTCTCCTCTGCAGATGGAATTTGGAGTTGTGTACAGTTGTGTGGAAGATAAGATGTACACTGGCAGAAAAGGAAAAGGTGCCTTTTGTAATGGCCAAAAACTACAGGTTTCAAAGCAAGATGGTAGGCCTGTCCTCCAAATTTTCATAGAATTGGTATTGGAAAGTCATGTTTGATAGCTTAACTGTTTTTGTTTTTGTTTTTGTTTTTGTCTTTCCTTTTTATCGGTACCAGGGATCGAACTCACGACTGCCTGCTTGCAAGGCAGGCGCTTATGCCGCTGAGCTAAATCCCCAGCCCCCAGCTTAACTGTTAATATGGAGTTCCCCAGTTATCAACTGATTCATAAATTGTGCTTATTTTCTTCTAACTTTGGCATTTTGACTCAGTTTTGAATGTGAAAGAAATGGAAAACAAAGCTAAGCAGATACATTTCTGGTCAGCATTGTACTAGGTGTCGGATATAAGAAGTTGACTGAGAATGGCTTCATACCTGCACGGTTTATTGTTTTAGCTGCAGCATCTCAGATTCTTCACAAAAGTCCTCTGATCTTATGCCATTTTAGGGCAACCATTAAACAATAAGTTGAAAGTAGAGTGTTAAATCTGAGAATCATTAAAAATGATAGATACACAGTTATCCCTCTGTATCCACAGACTGGTTGTAAGACCCCCTGCCAACACCAGGATCCGTATATGTCCAAGTACCTTACATAAAATGCTGTCATATTTGTATATTACCTGCCCACATGCTCCTGTATACTGCTTGAGTGACGTACATTATGTAAATATTGTTAGCCTATAATGTTTAGGAAGTAATAGCAAGAAAGAAGTGTATATATTCAGTACAGGCACACTACACTTTCGATTTAATGTTAATTGAGTCTCGATGTGGAACCTTCAGATTAAAAAACTGACTACATTTTTCATGAGCTAGATGATCTAGCTCATCTAATGTGTTACAGCCGTTGAAGTTTTGAGTTACCTTTCTTTGGGAAACCACACTGAACATTTCCCAAAGGTTATTTGTCTTTTTTTTTTGTTTTTTAGTACCAGAGATTGAATTCAAGATCTCGTGGTTGCCAGGCAGGCATCATGTCGCTGAGCTATAGTCTCAGCCCTCCTATAGTATATACTGTCCGATTCTTTAAAGTATAGCAAGAGCTTAAAAATACTTGCAGTCTAAGTTCAGAACCCTTCTAGCCTTTTATAATTTCTCTCCTACACTTGAGAGCAGTTTTAGTTTTTACTCATTGAACTCTCAGGCCACACAAATTGAATGATACGTCTTATTATTGAGATAGTAACGTACATCTTTGAACTGAAGGAGTGTGGTAACTTTTCATAGAAATAGCTCTTGTGTGTTGTGTAATTTTTTTTTAAATTTTTTGCTTGTTTTGTGGTACTAGGAATTGAACCTGCAGCCTTATACATAGTAGGCAGGTGCTTTATCACTGAGCTACATTCCTAAACCTTAATTATTTTTTACTTAATTAAATTGTGTGGCAGTTAAAAATAGTACAACAGTTACAAACTCACAGGGAACAAAGAACTGATAATTAAACATCTTACCTGATGGGAGGAGATGAAGAGAGGAGAGTGTTGAATTGTGGAAAGATTCAGTCCTGATACTTCTAAAGGAGAATGGAAAATACAGATAACCTGTCCGCTTAGTAAACTGGAGGTTGAATAAGAGATGGCGCCTTCGTATCAAATCTGTATATAAATTCCTTATAGAATTTAATTTATACTTTAAGAGACTTGTTTCTCACTGAAGGTATGCATGCAGACAAACTAGTTATATTCTGCACATTTTGGGTAAAAGTCTTAAAGAACATAACTTTTGATAATAAAATTAATACTTGGAGTGATGTAATTTTGAAATTTTTTACTTGAAAATAAAAAATAAAACAACTTTTTAGTATTTTAAAGTTTAGAAAAAAATTGATAAAAATAAGAAGAGGGATATAAGTGTCCTGTTTCATTCTGAGTTACATATGTCAGATTTTTCTAGACTCTAGTGTTTATTTAAAACATTTCTTTTCCAGATATTACCAAAGCACTCTTGGTAACCGAGTTGGGATCTTCCAGAACACCAGAGACTGTAAAAGTCATTCTTTCTAATATGGAAAAGCTTTTTGCTCTTCCCATTCATGGGTAAGCTCTTTTCCTTTTTTCACCTAAAGTTGCAAGATAATTTGAATTTTTAAAAGAATAAATTTTCTTCTACAAATTAATTTTTTAGTAACAGATACAAGATCTCTACCATAGTACTAATTTTGTGATGTAATTTTGAAATTCTTTTACTTGAAAATAAAAAAATAATTCCAAACAACAAAAATGTGTCAATATAAAATAGTACAAAAAAATCATAGTATACTTTTTGGTGTTGTTGTTGTTGTGTTGGAGATTGAACCATGGTCTTTCCTGTATCTCTAGACACTTTTCTTTTTTGGTACTAGGGATCACATTCACGACCTGATACTTGCAAGGCAGGTGCTTATGCCTCTGAGCTAAATCCCTGGCCCCAGACACTTTTTATTTGAATACAGGTTTTCACTTCAGTTCCTCAAGTTGGGCTTGAATGCAAGATCTTCCTGCTTTAGTCTCCCAGAGTACTGGGATGATAGTAGTACACTTTTTAACCCAGACTTATCTGGTAACATTTTACCCTAATCATTTCATGATTATGTGTGTGTGTCTGTGTTTTCCCTGAATCATGTCTGAGTAAATTATATGCTTTATTGCTTTTTTACTTATAACTCTCACTTTATTTTGTAAATATAGTGATATTCTCTCCCATAGTCCATACAGTTATTAAATTCATATATACTAACATCATCTAATCCAGTTTTGTCTAACATCATCTAATCCAGTTTTGTCATTATTCTAATAATGCCAGTTATACTGTTTTCCTTCTTGTAGTGCAAAATCCAGTTTAGGTTTGGCACTGCATTTGGGAGAGAGGTTAAAGGAATTCCAGGGTTTGCATTCAGGGCTTCACATGTGCTGTACTGTTGAACTATGTCCCAGCGCTGGCATTACGTTTTGCTGTTGTGTCTCAGCATCCTCAGTGTATCTTGTATACAGTGTACAGTACGGTTCTGCTTTATCAATCACTTTGAATATCTTCTTTAACACACAACAGAAGACTAGTGATGTATTAATAGGACTGCTTCATTCAGCTTCGATTGTTATATATTGTGATTGGTGTGTATATTTACAGTTACTGTATTTATTTGGTAAATTCTTTCTGCTTTGATTTTGTTTGTTGTTTTTGTCTTTGTTTCGTGGTATGGGGGACTGACTCAAGGACCTAAAACATGCTGGGAAGGCCTTTACCAGTGAGCTGTGTATTCCCTTGCTTTCTTATCTATTTATTTAGTATTTTGTATTGTTTGGTTTTCTTCTGTTGGTTTTTCAAAGCAGGGTTGAACTATGCAGTCAGGGTGGCTTTGCACCTGCTATGAGCTCCAGGTAGCCTCCGATCTTTGATCCACCTGCCTCAGCCTCACAGGTGCTGGGATTCTAGGCGTGCAGCAACACAACCTGGCTGAAATTCTTTTTTGCCGTTTTAGAAAGGTTAAATTTTAATCTAGTGGATTTCTTTTGCATTACAACTTTTTATACTTATACTGTTTTTAATACCCTTCTAAATTAACCATTTACTGCTTATAAGGATTCCAGAAATTTTTGGCTTTCACTTATTTCCTATCTAATTTTATTCTTTTTCCCTCTTGTCCCATTTTTAAGTTGTATTCTATTTTGTTGAACATATCAATTTTACACATTCTTCAACCCTTGATTCCACTGTTTGATGTTAGTCCTTTATTGGCTTTATAAAGTGCTCACACTCCTTTTGAAAATATTCCCAGTTACCCTTTGATTGGATAATGCCCATCCTACAGTGGATTCCTTGGCGAGAGCATGTGCCCACAGTATTCCTTGAAGTTTGATGTATGTGTTTCACTGTTTTTCTATGGCCTTAAAACATGAAGGGCTGCTTAGCTGGATCTGAGAGCCTCAGTATAAGAAAGCAGGAACTAAATTATTTCCTGAAAATGCCTTCATCCTTGCCTTGCTTTTTGTGTTGTTTTGAGAACTAGCCAGTCTAATTTACTTGGCTTTTCAGTTATTTTATGTTTCACCTGGGATCTCTGAGAATTTTTTCCCTTTATCTTTAAAGGCTAATACTTTTACACAATCAAAAAAAATGCTTTAAAATAGTTCATTCTGGACCAGTTTTGTGTTGTAATGTGTAGATTCATGTCTTTTTCTTTTTTGGAAAGTTCTGTTGAGCTGTAGTTTTAAAGATCCACTCACTTTTGCTACCTTCAACTATTTTTGGTTCCATTTCTGCTTAGTTTTTGGATTGTTGATGTACTTTTTTTCTCAGTTACAAAAGTATTTGTTTAGGAATTTAATCTGATTACATTTGTTTTAGTTTTCTTCTGTTTCATTGTTGGTTTTTATGGAAGACTTTTGTTAGCCAAAAAACTAAAACATTTTCATGAGTAATGTCTGTTATGCACTAATTTTGTGTCATAGGTGTCACTGACTTCTTTCCTTTTTTTGTTTTTATTTCAATGGTATTGGGGCTTGAACCCAGGGACTCACATATGCTAGCAGTGATCTACCACTGAGATACATCCCCGGTCACCTAAGTTATAAGACTTAAAAACTGACCAAAGATCATCTTAATAATCCAGCCTTATTTTGTAGATGAGGTAACCTGAGATTCAAAAAAGGTGAAGTAGCTTAGCTGAGATCACATAATTAGGGAAGACTATATGCTGCAACTCTGTAGCTTCCAGATCCTTCGTTCTCCAATATTAGACTTCTCTTTTAGGAGTCAAGATGTTTAAAGTATAGTCTGACCATGGTAAAACTGAATATGGGTATAAATCTGTGTTCAATATCGTAAAGAGTAAATTAAAAGATGGAATCACTGTCATGCAGCTGTGGAGCCTCCCAGGATGATGTTTTTGAGGCAAGAAGATCGTGACTTAAAAAAACCCGCTGCTGCGATTTGCTGTTTTGAAGCAAGGACTTTAACCAGGACTTTAACCATAATAGAGCTAAAAATGGACTGCTTTAAACTTTTATCTTGCCTGATTTTTGCTGTACGTTATTTTCAGTAGTTTCGCCAGGAAAATATTACCAAAGATGAGTAGTAACTTAGTGATTTCTTTTTCTGATCTGTTGCTTTCAGCTAATTCTTCAGAGTTATTTATGTAAAACAAAATCAGAACAAAGAGAATCATAATCTGGGTAAATGCCTTAAACAAGTAGAAATAGTGTATAATAGTTTCCTAAGAAATGTTTATGAGATAAAGTAAATTTGAGGGTCGACTTCCTTCTTTAATTTTGAGGAATCCATTTAGATGAGATGTGTGATATATAATGTTTGTGCTATTATATAGTGTTTTCCACCTGCAGCCCCCTTTTTCTTATCTTCTTTTTTTAATGTCATAATAAAAAAATAAAAGTTTTGTTACTTGTTGTACATTAACTATATTATATGTTGTATACGCAGCCCAAGCCAACTCCTCTTCAAAAAAAGAAAAAAAAAATGAGAACAAGGAAAAGGTGGGCCTAAGGTTGAACACAGCAGAATAATTTTCATTATTAACAAAACAACTGTTTATTAATGACCTTCTATACATGAGGCACTCAGCTTGTTGTTTCACACATATTATTTGGAATCTTTACAGTAGTAGCCTATGATAAATTGGTGTCTTCTTGTTGGTAACACAGAAGCTAAAATTCAGAGATTTTACCATAATTATGAGTTTTAAGTAACCAAGCAGCAGAGCAGACTCACATCTTTACAATGCCAAGATAATCCTTTTTACTTTCTACCATACGGGGCTATAGGAGGGTCAGACTAAGGTAGGATTTAGAACACATAGTGAGGATCTGGTCCACAGTTTCACTACTGGGTAATTGAATAATCTTTTTAGGGAGTCCACTGGTAATATTTACCACAGAGCAATGTGCTCTTGCTGACTGTCATACTTCCCCTTCCCTAAGGGCCCATACTCTTCCCTACCAGTAGGCAGAAGCATCACTAGTAGCTAAGGCTGTTGTTCTTAGCCTGGGATTCTACCCCTGACTCATGTAAGAGGTCTGAAGTTGTTCTAGAGCGTGAACTATGAGCTATCATCACAGTCAGCTGATTCTTCAAATTTTTCTTGTGTTTCTAGAATTATTTATGTGGAACAAAATGAGAACAAAGAGAATCGTAATCCAGATAAATTTCTTAAACAAGTAGGAACAACCTAATAGGTTCCTGAGAAATGTTTATGAGACAGAGTAAATTTGGGGGGTCAAGTGCCCATATGAGAAAGGAGGAAATGCACCTGTTTATCTAAACAACAACAAAAAAGCCACTACAGTTAGATTTTATTTATTGAGGAAGCAAATATCTCAAAATCGTTTGTACTTGCTATTTCTTTCTTAAATTTGATGTGTCACAAACACAAGCTGAAAAACTTACTCCAAAGACATCATGTCTTTCTAATTTTTAAAAAATTATTTTGATAGGAAGGAGTTTACTTTTTAGGTACAGTAAAGAATAATGCCATGTTAATTACTAATGTTCTATTATTTTTTTATAAAAAATGAACTGTGAAACATTTTGGTGAACAGAACTCACAGCTTTATTTCTAGAGGTTTAATTATCAAAACAGTTCCAGAAAGAAAATTCCAGATATAAGGACACCTTTCTCCTGAATAAAAACATTCTCTAACATAACCACCATTATAAAACCAAGAAATTAATATTTAAGCTAATATTGACAATTTGTTTAAAGTTTGAAAACATTCCAATCCAAAGTTCAATCATAATGCATTTAGTTGTCATTTTTATTAGTTTCCTTTAACCTAGAACAGTTATATAGTCTTTTTTTGTGATACTGATATTTTTGCAGAATGTAAGCCAGTTGTTTTATAAGATTCTCTTCAACTGAGTTTGTTTTACTTTTGCTTGAGTTACACATTTTTGATAGGAATGCCACAAAAGTAATGTTTTTTTTCCTTTCTCAGCACATCAGATCAGGAAGCACATGATAATCTATTTGTCCCATTATGAGTGGTACTAACTTTGGTCACTTGGAAATTTAGACCATTCTAATAATGTGGTTTTTCCCATTGCAAGTACTATATGTCCTGTTGGGGAGATATTTTGACATTAGGTAAATTTTAAACTTTCACTTGCTAATTTCACATTTGTTAATGATGCGTTTCTGAGTCCATTATTGCTGTAATGGCTGTCCAGTAGTGTGCATGCTTATTATAAATTGTTATATTTCTGAAGAATGGGTGCTATGAGAGGACAGAACTGAAGTAATCTTTCAAGGCAGCACTAAGTCTGTGTAAAACCTAGGGAAGCTGTTACCCTTTCCACACATGTGTGATGCACACCCAGGGGGGAATGATCAGTAATAACGTGTGGCAGAACGGAATCCAGGAAAGGAACAGCTTTCTTTACACAGTCCTGCTGTGATCTGTCTCATAACAAAGCCAGGCACCCCTGCCTGTGGGTTAATACTTTTGTATGATGCACGAGCAGGAGGAACGGAGGCAAGACAGAACAGCCCGGCAGTTCTCTGATTACTTAGCTGGATGAGATCATTGGTTACAAGAGTAGGTTAATGATCGTGAAGCTTGGTACAAACAGGATCCAACATAATCTGTTAAGCTCTCATGGTTACAAGAATCTAGAAAGTAATTAATGAAGCCAAGAAGCAGTTACAGAGCTAAGCAATTTCAAAGGAACAAAGTTTTATAAAGAACAGTTTTTCTTGTACAATTTTCCCTTTTAATAGCATGAAGTTTTGCTTCAAACAGGCTGCATATTTGTGTGTGTGTGTGTGTGTGTGTGTGTGTGTGTGTGTGCGCGCGCGTGTGTAAAACAATCTAAGCTACCATGCCTAGATTTGGACAAGTATGAATATACATGTGTGCTATTATAATAGAATTGTAGCATTTTCCATATTTTTCAATGGTTCTTTTTCTAAGAATTTGTTTTAATGTTTACCTTCTACCTGATTGCTTTGTGGGGATGAGTTTTGTGATTTTTATATAGTATGCCTCATTAGATTTTACATACTTACTTTAAAATTTGAGGCTGCTTTTTTTTTTTAACCTTTATCCTCTTGATTGATTAAAGTTATCTTAGTCAACACTTACACTGAAGTTAAGGAGGAATGTACCTCATTTAAAAGGATTACCTTTTCCACTCTTACTTTTAAATGTTAGAATCCGGAGTGTTGGAACAGCAGCTGTTAACATGTGCCTTGTGGCAACTGGAGGAGCGGATGCGTACTATGAAATGGGAATTCACTGCTGGGATATGGCAGGAGCTGGCATTATTGTTACTGAAGCTGGTGGAATACTAATGGATGTGACAGGTAAAATTATGGGGTAATAAAGCACTTTTTTCCTACATATCAGATTTTCCTCTGTAGAGTTATTAAATATTATTGATATAAATGAAATTAGACCCATATATGTAAAAATGGTATTGTCTCACTAGTGTGAGAAACTAAACAAGAAAATAGGATATGAAATTTACAATGGGTATTAGGAATTGGGAAGAAACTGTTCAAAAGATAACAAACTGATGGAGGAAAGAGGAAAGGAAGAAAGGGAAAAAATGTATACGGAAGCACAAGATAATTAAGATTAATTATGCAGCTAGCTTTTATTTGTTCCTTGAAAAGACTGTTTTTTGCTAATACTGTTTGGACGAGATGTCATGCCTATCTCTTGTACTCCGAAAAACTACTGTGAAGACAACAATACACGATGTACTAACTATTGTAACTGTTCTACTAACCTGTTTTGAATCTCAGTTTCACTGTTTTTTTTTTTAATTGATATATATTATGCTTTAGCTTTTAGGGAAACAAACTGTGTGATTCTTTTCAAAATAAAAATGAAAGTGAGAAGATAGAGGCAGGGATGAGCATTAATGGCAGTGTGGGACTGATAATGGGAAGTGGCTGAGTTCCTTCCTATGTACCCAGAGTTTCTGAGTGACTGTGGAGAAGGGCAGACAGGCCTGATTCTTCGGGCCGCGTGGAGAGCTTCCTGGATGTGGATAGGTGGTAGGTCACAGTGGGCTTCCTTCTCCACCTCTTCCTACTTTAGCCCTAATGAAGCTAAATACTGGATTTGAACTGATGGTAAAAATGTTAAAGCATGAAAGTAGTTAAAGAATTTGCCAGTTACCAGGGACAAGCACTAGGAGATGAGAAGGCAGAGTGGTATAGAAGTGTATCAGAGGCGATTTCCTGTCTCTAGATTGACAAGCAGTAAAGAGGTGACAGGAATGTACAGAAAAAAAGACAGAGAAAAGATGGCGTTTTTCAGACTGGTGAGTTGAGATTTCCACTCACACTGGTATTTACTAAAAACAACCCAAAACACTTAGAAACTGTTTTTTTCAGATTATTTTTATCCAGTATATAACCTTTTCCCATATTCTATTTGATCCTAGGTGGACCATTTGATTTGATGTCACGAAGAATAATTGCTGCAAATAATAAAGCATTAGCAGAAAGGATAGCCAAAGAAATTCAAATAATACCTTTACAAAGAGATGATGAAGAGTAATTACAGCAGCCTCATTACTCAGTTATTCCCAGATTTACTGCAGCTCTGATGGGTATCTGTTTCAAATATATGAGAAGATTGACTTAACTTGTCTTTGATGTTCTGATTTTAAAATGGGAAGTTTTACTACAGGCTGTATGCAAAAATAGATATAATATTTGTTTTGTGGCTTTAAAATGTTTTGTGTTTAAGAATATACTTTGGGAAAAACATACCAGAAGTATAGTTTGTGAGCTATGCATTGAAATACTCAATGAATATTTCTATTTATATTCAGAAGCACTCAATTAGAAAGTGATTTTTTGTTTTTGAAAAAAATGTTCTCTGTGTTCCAAAAGTTATATTTAATTAAATTTATAATGACATAATAGTGTTTTTTAGATAATGGTTTTGTTTCTTAGCAGAAAACGTTGTATCTGTCAAGTATTAGGCACCACCAAAAATGGACATTTTAAGAATGAATATTTTTAGCCAATACTTCCTATTTATAATAAACACATAAAGTAATGAACTCACTAATCCGTATTTTTGCCTTTTTTTTTTTTTTTTTTTTTTTGTAGTACTAGGGATTCAACCTAGGGCCTTTTTACTAATCACCACTCCTTTTTAAATTTTTATTTTGAGATAGTCTTGCTAAGAAGCCTAGACTGGCTCAAATTTGTAATCTTCCTGTCTCAGCCTCCCAGAGTACTTGTCTTTTTTAAGTTCATGCTACATTTCCTGTTACCATACCATTTCACATGACCGTATTGCCATATAGTGTTGCTTATTGCGAACATTTTCTCAGTAATGTTTTCCATTGCACATGTTATGGTATAAGTTTGGATTGCCTTCAGGTATTCTGTGTAAGAGAAAAAACTTCTCAAAAAGCACTGCTGTGAGGTTTCTGATATAGTTAGATACCACATAACAGTTTCTTAATTCTGAGTGTTTGTTTGTTTTTGAGATAGTTTCTGTTTCCCAGACTAAGCTCAAACTCAAAATCCTCTCTTCAGCTTCCTAAGTAGCTGGAGGTAAAGTTTGCACCATCACATCTGGCTTTCTGAAGTTGATGCTTACGTTGTATTGATGTTTACACTGATGTGGTTATGCTGACAAATACTTGTGTTGTTATATTGAACTCAATTTCATTGCTGCTATGTTTATATATTGTTTAATTAACTTTAACCTGTCAAATTCAGAAAGAAAGTTACATAGCTTCATAGCCATTTTAAAAGGTTAACATTGTTTTAGCCTTGTCTCTTGGCATGTGAATAAATGGCTAAGTTTTATTGTAGCTGCACATGAGGCTTGTATTTGATAAAATGAAAAGTGCTTATATAAAGACACAAAGATTTGAGTACTAATGATGGCAATTACGTTGTTAATCACATGCACTTAAAACATTTCATATTGTGTAATTCTAAGGCAGGTTGTTTTTGCAATTAAATATATTTTAATTAAAAAAGCTATCATGGATAACATTTTAAATAAAAGTATAATTGATATTTGTATTATTAAAGTTTATAGTTGAAACTGCTTTTAAGAATTTTATGTTGAACTTTAAATATTTGAAACTTGGAGTTGTCAATACATATTGTTGTTGTTTACCTGTAGTTTTTACAACTTTTCTAAGGACTTAAAAACTTTTTCCCCTATACGTAGCTTTTACATTCTTTTCTAAGTGAAACTAGATCTTTCGTGGCTGAGTCTTCATTATAAACTATATTGAAAAAGGATGACAAGTAAAATTCCCAGCAATATATTATTAAAATGTTATTCTGTCCCCTGCCAGGTCCTTTTCAGGTTCTGTTTTCCAGGTGTTTTTCTTGGATTCTTTCGCTTTTGACTGTCTGATGTTCCTTTGTTTTGAAAATATATTAAAGTTTTTAAGATAAGGTGAAAGTAAGGCTTCATTTATAAAATGCCTTATTTAAAGTAAATGCAAGATGGAAGCGAAGTTGAATTAATTAGTAGAAATAAGACTAACTTATATTCTGTGTGACTAGGAAATCCAAAAAAAATCTTTAGATAAAGCATCAAAATTAGTGTGAGAATTATTATAGAAAATGATTTATATAACTGCATTTATCTACAACTTAGTTACATAAGGTAATATTTTCTGAATATACCATTTGCAGTAGTATAAAAAAGAAGTCCTCTAAGTAATTTCATAGGTTTTGTTTGTTTTGGTTTTTGGGTTTGTTTGTTTTATTTGGTTTGGTTTAGTTTGGTTTGTTTTTTTGAGATAGAATTTTGCTGTGTGGTTCAGGCTGGACTTGAACTTACCACGTAGCCCAGGTTGGCCCGGTATTCACAGCAGTTTTCCTGCCTCACCCTCCCGAGTGCTGGGACTATCAGCATGTGCCACCACACCCGGCTCGTAACTGTTCTAATGCAGGGTGCGGAGCTGCACATGTAGCTCAGTGGTAGAGCATTGGCTTAGCATGGGTTTGGTGCCCACTACTGAGAGAGTCAGAGAAAAGACTAGATAAGATGGAAAGAAGATATGCCAGAGGTCTGCACAGAAAAGCTACAAAACATTACTAAGAAAAATTTAAAAATATCTTAAATTAGGCTTGTGGCTTAGAAAATTCAATACTTCTCAGATGTCAGCTTTGCCACATTGGTCTGCAGATTCACACATTCCCAATCGTACTCCTGATGATGTTGAAGAGGGGAGGGATGTTAGCAAGCTTTCTGCCACTGCAGCAAGATACCTAGGATAATTTACTTGTGGAAAGTTTTATTTTGGCTCACAGGTTTTGGAGGTTTCAGTCCATTATTGGTTGCTCCCCATTGCTTTGGGCCTGTGCAGAGGCAGCACATCATCGTGGGTGTGTTTTGTGGCAGAGGAAAACTCCCATCTGACAGCCAAGAAGGGAAGGATGAGAAGAGAAATGGTCCCCCAGTCCCCTTTGAGGGCCTGCCCAAAATGGCATAAAGACCTCCTGTTAGTCCCTTCTTCTTAAAGGTTCCAACATGTCCCTTCAGAGGGACAGTCAACATCCAAGCTACAGCAGGAAGTGACACCTGTCGGGTGGGCAATTTACATGGAAATGTAGAGGGCTAAAAATAGCTAAAATCATCTGAAGAACAAGGTTAGGATTTCTCCCAAGACGTCATAATGAAAGCAGTGATACCAGTGCAAGGCTAGACACTGTTCAAAGAAATAGTCAAAGAATATGCTGGCGCTCTCTAGTTTATAAAAAGTGCCAGTGCAATGCAGTGTAATCAGTCTTTCCAGGAAATGCTGTAATCATTGGATATGCATATTAAAGGAGAAAAATACTGATCCCACCACACCGTGTGAAATCCAGGTAATCCAACATCTAAATATAAAGGGGAAAATATTAGCTATTCTGATCCAAAAGATAGCATGTTTTTCTAGCTCTGGTGAAAAAAGACTTGGTAAGCACATGAAAACTGGGTCCTACAGAACCTATCTGATCTATCATCAAAATAAACAATCACGAAGCTGGGTATGGAGGTATATACTAGTAATGCCAGTACTGGGGAAGCTGAGGCAGAAGGATTGCAAGTTTGAATAATGTGATTCTGTCTCAAAAAACAAAAATTAAGATATTATGAATGGCAACCTGCATATAGATAAATACATATAGATACACAAACTATACTGAATATGTAAATAGCTCCTGCATATCAAAGATACTACAATGACCAAGTAAGCAGATAACTTCAATAATAGTCTATAAAATATATATTGAAACTAAGCAAATGTAAAAGTATTCAATATTGTTATCCAAGAAATGCATTCCAAACAATAAGTGTGTGTGTGTGTGTGTGTATCAGAATAGCCAATATGAGACAAAAATTCAGCAACAATCAACAAGCCAGACACCACTCTGATTGACACCTGGGGTTGGGGAGCACATGAAGAGCTTTGACTACCTGCACTTGGCAGAGTGTACATTGATATGACTACTTCGAAAGATCTGGAAATAGCTAATGAAAGTAGTCACATGCTCTTGCATACCCCAACATCTCCACTGCTTAGTATGTACCTCAAATGCATGTGTATATCTGCCAAGTACATACCCAGCTTTATTTGTAATAGCCCTAAGTGGAAAACAGTCTCAAGGCTACCAACAAATGAACGGATTTAAGATGTGGAGTAGACACACTATGCTAGTACAACGTTGAAAAAAAAATGGATGATAGCTACATACAATATGTAAATTTTCATTCTGGCTCAAGCTGTATACTTTTCAGTGGTTCTGCCCATTTTAAAGTGATACCCTAATTTTACAGAAGCCAAATCTCTTCTGCTTTTGGCTTACCTAGGCTGCAGTTCTTTCTCTTTGTTCTTTGTTTCTAAAATTACACGTTGAAATTGTCCTCTGTGTCTACTTAGTCTCTTTTGCTGACTTCCTCTGATGATGAAGCTGTATTCCGTATGTATCCTGGTCCTCGTGTCTCCTACTACCAAGTCACTTGAGAGAGAAACTCCTGCATCACCATGACTTTGACTGCTACATCTTTTGTACTGCCTCTCCAATCTTGACCTGCAGCCCATATTATCTTTCTGAAATCTCACCTTAAATCTCCAGCTCCTTTCTGGATGTCTCCTCCAGAAAGTATTTTTCCAGCTTGACATGTCTCACACCAAACTACTTAATTTTGTATTCAGAATTTTCTGCTATTCTGTATATATTCTGTCCCCACTTTCTACTGGGGGCCTATTGTTCTGATGTTTCCTTTCCACATCCAATTTGTTGTAGCCCAGTTTGGATAATACAGCCCCACCTAACATGCCTTTTGAATGCTATAGCTAAGCTAAAAGACTAGCTCTTCACTCCTCAAAGCTTTTCATTTGGCATGCCATCTGCTTAAAAGTCTCTGTTGTGATAGATTTTTAAAAATGGATCACAGCAATCCCCCCATTTCACCCCAAACACAGGTTTTCTTTACTATCACATTGAGACATGCTGTGCTTCTGCCCCCGGCTAATTCAGAAATCAGACTTGAGCAGAAAGAATAAAATTCACTAGGAAACTGAGACTTTTGAACCTATAATAGACATGCAAATGATTGGAAATAAGGTGCCGCTGATAAACACTTCTCAGGAGTGGTGGCTCTAAGTTGAGCTAAGTGTAAGCATTCAATTCCACAAGTCTACCTATTTTTCGAGGAAAATACTTCTTGTTACATATTCTAATTTCTAACATATTAAATGTAATATGGTTATGTTCCTTGAGTTTATTCTTTAAAATAGCTCATAAAATATTTTCCTTGGGGATAAATAATTTCAGCCCTTAGTGAGAACAGTGTACCATGCATTTTGCTAAGCACCTGATAGTCGCAATCATATTTAATCCTTGTAACAACCCCCAGGAGAGGTTATTATTCTCATCTTACTGAGGCACATAGATGCCATTTAATTAGCCCAATTCTGCACAAAGCAATACAGCTGAGCAGTGAACTTCTGTGGAGACACAGCTGGGATCCACAGTCCAGGCCCACCCCCAGCAGCACTCACCCTGACTGCCCGTTAGAACCAGCAGGGAAATTGTAAGACACACCATTGATGGGGCAAGTCCCTGGGCCTGGAGGGTCACCCGACCATCTGTAGTTCTAATTTCCCAGGCAATATTATTGGATGGCCAGAACTGAAAAGCCATGTGTTTCCCAGAAATACCCAATTTCTTAGGAGGAACAAACTCACCCACCCACTTACCCACCTTCGCAAGCCTCAGAGTTTTATGGAGAAATCAGATACTTTAAAATGGAAATGTTTTGAGTCAGCCCTTTGCCACCCGGTGAACTTGCTTGGAAAATTATATATTAGCTGGCTTTTTTTTTTTTTAATTCCAAAAATTAACACTAGATGGCAAACAGCATACAGAGAATCACTATATGTCAAGCATTTTCATTTTCAAAGCATTTTATTTTCCTTCAAATAACCTCATTAACTAGTATGTAAGATTAATTATTATATTATACAAGGGCTGGGGATATAGCTCAGTGTGAGATTACTTGCCTTCAAGCTGGGTTCAACCTAGTACTGCGAAATATAAAAAATTGACAATAGAACCAGAGAAACTCTTCATAAATTGTTTTGTGGGTTAACATTCCCTGAAACAGAGCCACAGGTACTCCTCTATGTTTTTTAATTTTATTAGTATATATTTGCAGTGCATAATGCTTACATTTCCTATGTATTATGGCCTGGAGATTCAGATTTTCAAAGTGTTTTTTATTTGTAAACATATATAATGAAATATTTTCTTTTATTATCATACTTGAGAATTCTTTTCCACCAATACATTACTATTTCCTTGTTAAATAATGAATCAACCAGTAAAAACAGTTGTAAATATCCTGCTTACCTTTCTTAGGGAGTTGGTGACACTTCCAGAAGCACAAGGCAGGGGGCGCTGTGACACTACTCTATGCTCACTTTTCCTGAGAAACTGCGTGGATGATGGAAATACAGAAAAGGGGTTTGGGAGGACCAATAAAAGAGAAGCATACAATATAATATTGTATGCTATACTGAAGAATACTGTAGTAACATTTTCACGATTTAGGCTTTCACAATGACAAGATGCCTGCGTAGCCTGGACTTCCCAGTGACAACAGCTGTCCAAACCCCACACAGTAGACATCTCCACTTTTGCTCCATCGTGCTTGGGGCAAACAGGACTGGATGCATGCACAGAACCTACAGAGCCAATAACAGTGCTCTCTGTTCTAAATTTATTTTACTACCTTAGATTTTAAAGTATTAAACCCTTCATATTACTCATCTGAACTTACATATAATGCCAGGTAAGGTCTGAGAGATTAGGAGGCTCCAGTAATTTTTCTAAATAAAGATAAATCATCACCAGCTTACTGGGCTCCTCCACTGTCTTGGGATGAGTCCGAGTTCCTCCGTACGG